TTGTAACAGATAAAATATGAAGATTTAGTGATTTTAAAATCTAGAGATCACTAACACTTTATATAACAATGTTATTTGCTTGCTTGCAATTTCAAAAAGGTTAGTTCTCAGTGTAAGGTCGTTTTCCATAGCAAAGCCTCCACAGCTCAACAAGAGGACACTAAGCTGCACTGAATGGAATCGATAGCACTCTCATCTACTGCGCCACTGTGTCACAGACATCAGCACCTGCACAGTGCTACTGAGGGACCACAGAATGGATAGACACACTTGACACTTAACAACCCAACAAACTAAAACTGAATGAACTTTTAGACATGAAAAGTAATCCATGTCTCCCTAGAAACAGCGATCACTGGGTCCAGGACTGTAACAGTCCACAACCTGAGGCTCTAACTTGACAGCCCATCCACATAAAGCAGGCCTCGTGAAACATGGGCTGGCCTCTGCAGAGCCACTCTCACACATGAAGCCATGCCTGCAGGTGACTGTTGAACCATTTCGGCATCTGGCCCAGTCCTGAGGTCCACAGATCCTCTATCCTCCCACCTTCACGGAACATTTTTGATCACAGGATGAAATCAGATTATATTAAGAACTTCTGGTTAGAGCTCAGGGGACAGTGCAGTTTTCCACCAGGTTCTGGGACACTGTCAGTATCCACTCTCCCTTTACAAGTCAGTTTCCGCAGAAGCACAGGAGACCCTCAAATAGATTCCACACTCTGAGCAGCTTTTATTTTATTCCATTTTATTTTGAGACAGGGACACATGTAGCCAAGGCTACCCTCAAACTTGCTATGCAGTCAAAGATGACCTTGAAGTTCTGATCCTTTGACCTCCACCTCCGGAGCGCTGAGATTGTAGGCATACACCATCAGGTCCAGTTTATAACCCTAACCTGTCAACTGAGCTATATCCCCAGCCATATTCTGAGAAACTTTGTACCTACCAGGTGTTGTGTCAAACACGTAAGTGCCACCCCCCGCCAGGCCTTACCCCAGCAGTCCAGGCTCCACTGAAGAATCAAGGCCACCAGGTTAAGTGTCTGGCAAAGCAGAACAAAGAGCAAGGGCAGGTGTCTCCGGGAAGGAGAGGGCAGAAGTTTAAGCTTTAATTATTCATTCATGATGCCCCAGGGACCATCCCATAGATGACATAACAGCATCAACCTGTTTAACACAATGTTCTAATCTGCCACTTCTTTTTCAGTGCCAGCTGCAAGCCCAAGGTGAGGGTTAGAATAAGCCAGTGCCTAGGAAATTAAGAGACAGAAAAAGCAAGCAAGGTGTGGGGGGTGTCTGCCCTCTGGCAGTCCTCATGCCTGTCTCTATTTCCTATTCAACTCAGGGAGTTAGAGATTCCCCTTATGGAACCTCCAACATAGAGGTGCGAAATGCCACAGAGTTGTGCTAGGCTCGGGGTGGATGGAGCTGATGGAAACCTGAAGGTGAGCCAGCAGGCAGAGGGCAGCTACAGGCCAGAGCTGGGCGAGAGGGGTGTCTGATGAGACCGGGGGAAGACAGATGCACCTAAAGAGGCTGATGTCTGAGGGCATTCCAACCAGAAACTTCCGTCTCTCTCAGACACAGGTCCCTTTCCTTCTGCTCTTCCTCCTTGGCCAGGGTCCCCTCCCATCTCCAGAGCACGTCCACCACCTTCCCATTCCTTTCATTTTGAATCAGGATCCCATGGAGTCCGAGCTGGCCTCACACTGTTCGTTAAGGATGACCCTGAACTTCTGATCTTCCTGCCTCTACTGATGTGTACTAACCCTGCCCAGTTTATATGGTGCTGTACGGTGGGCAAGCAATTGGCCAACTGGGCAACAGCCCCACCTCTTCATCTCCTCAGCAGCAGGCTGTCTTCCCACCACACCCTGCCCCTCTTATTTCCCGGGCTTAACCCTCCCCCGACACAACTCCTCATCAGGGGCTCTCAGCAGACCTCCTGGTGGGTCTATGAGCATTTCATGTACTTGTCCCTTAATCGCCTACTATAGCCATTCATTCAACTATTACTGGCCCCAGATACAGCACACAAGACAGCCATAGTCCCAGTCCCCATGAGGCTTAGCTCTTATATAGAGACAAACACAGAAAACAGGGAAACAACTCCATGGTGAGAGTGCCATAGCATGGGGCAGGACAGGGAGGAAGGGGGAATCAGCCACAGGGGGAGCCTTTTTGGATAAGGGAGGCAAGAAAGCCCTCAAGGGATTATTCTACAGGACAGATCTGAGTGCCAAGTTCATTTGCTCTAGACTGTTCCATCCCCTCCTCCTGTTCCTCCTCCTGCCCACCAAGCAAGCTTCGGTCTCCAGAATCATCTCTTCACCTCCTGGTTCTGTGCTTAGAGTCCCCGGGCAGTACAGGAGGCAGAGGGAATGGAAGAGCTGTGAGCACAAGAGCCAACAGTGGGCCCTAGAATGGGCAGTGAGCTGCTTCCATTGGCTGAGCACATACTGGAGCTCAGCTGTGCTGAGCCCTCCCTGGGTGTCCCTCCTTCCGTGTTTATAGCCCGAGGAACCTTGACTCCCACCACTCCTGGGAGCCTCTACCACACCTGCCTTGTTCAGGACTTGGTGAGTTTGGTTGTTGTCTGAATAATCACTGGGCTGTGGTGTCTTGGGCACTGCCTTTCCTCAGGAAGGAAAACACCTCCCCACACTTTGAAGACATTGCATTGTGCTACCCTAACACATATTACAAATGGAACTTCAAGTTGTTTAAATTAAATGAGTTATATTTAATTAAAAAGCCTTTGAGGCACACTAAGATTCTTTTCTAATTTTCTTTCATAACAGAATCCAAAGGAAGCAAAGCGCCAGGGGTCAGTGTAGTTGGGCTGATATTGACTTAGGATCTGGCCCAGCTAAGAGTCCCAGGGAATGCCAGCAGCTATCTCCCTGGGCCTACATGGCAATCTTCAAAAGCTCAGTGTCCTCATCTGAAGATGGCATTATGGACAGTGTCCATCAGATGGTTATGGGCTGGAGAGATGGCTCAGAGGTTTAAGAGCACTAGCTGCTCTTTCAGAGGACCTGGGTTTGATTTCCAGCACCCACATCACCGGTGATTAACAACCATCCTAACTCCAGTTCCAGGGGATTCAACACCCTCTTCTGACCTCCACAGGCATTGCATGACATGGGTGCACTTACATACACACAGGCAACACATCATACACGCAAAAATTAAAAATAAAAAAAAAGATGGTAGGCCAGGTGTGGTAGCACACACCTTTAATCCCAGCACTCAGGAGGCAGAGGCAGGTGGATCTCTCTGAGTTCGAGGCCAGCCTGGTCTCCATAGTGAATCCAGGCCAGCTGGGGCTACAGGGAGACCTTGTCTCAAAAAGACCAAAAAAAAAAAGAAGGTTACAAAGACAAAGAAATGTGAATAGAACATGCAATGTCACACTTCAGCTGAAGAAATACCTGTCCCACACCTGTCAGTTAAGGAACCAGCCAACCAAGCCACCCACACATCCCAGCAAGGACCTCAGGCTTGGGTCAAAGGCACAAAGCTTGGCCAAACAGCATTGCCCCTTCCCTGAAGGTTAACAGTTGCAACAGACACTGCCAAAGGAAGCAGGCAATTTGCCTTTCTTCCATCGCTAACCCAACGGTTTCCAGTCAGGTAGCCTCACAGGTAACCTGAGGCACACCCAGCACTATATCCCCAGCACCTGGTTTAGTTGCCAGCCTGACAGAAGTCTTCATCGGCATTTCTGGGCCTCTGGGGTAGAGAGGAGCTATTCAGCTGTGGCCAGTGGGCAATGACCGGGGGAGCAGGGCAGACAGGAAGGCTTAGGTTAGATGTGGACCATCTGTAACTGACTGGAGCCGTTCTTTACCCAGGCCAATGTGTCATTCCTGACTTTTCTCTCACCTCTGGGAATTTGTTGGCTCATTCGCTTCAACCCATGTGAATGTTGGGATTCTTTCTGCTTGGTATTTTGTGGGTATGGATACTCCATGTATCCTGGGTCCTCTATCAGCCTAGAGTATCCCTGGCTGCCCACAGAGAGGTCTTTCTGTTCTCACTTGAGGCAGCTCTGACAACTGACTGGCCATGGCTCTAGCCATCCACAGAAACAGGGCATTCTCTGATGAGGCCACCAGCCCATTATTATATTCTGGACAAACCCCCATGCCCAGTGTGCCTGCGTGCTTCCCGCTCCTCTGGGGAAAGACCCCTGGGTCCACACAGGGGCTTCACCACAGAGGGGCTTCTCTATACCAGGTCTCCTTCCTGCAGAGGCTCCCCCACATAGGTGCTAATCTACACAGGAACTCCCCCACTCAAGGACTTCCCAAAGCAGGAGTATCCCCCCCCCGCCAGCCCCTGAAAGGAGTAATCTGTACAGAGGGTCCCCCATGTAAAGGCTAGCCCACACAGGGGTTTCTCCACACACAGGAGCACCAACCTTGGCCCTGACTTATCTCAACACATTTTTCCTTTCTGTAGTAGCCCATGGAAAAGGCAGTCAACACCAGCACTCTCCCACAGGCAGGTCCGGAGCCTGATACCTTTATCTGAGAGTCAGCAGCTTGGCTGATGGTGCTGGGAGTCCTCCTTCCCTGAGGCGAAGGCCCCCAGAGATGCCATAGTCAACCTTCAAGGACTTCCCAAGGCCAGATCTTTAAAACAGAATCAGACCACTGCACACCACTGCTGTCTGTGCAAAGAAGGCACCAGCTCTGAGGGACACCTTCTCTACACAGACACAGCAGTGGCTAGGCCAGGTCAGGCCAAGTGGCACTCTACGTGAGCACAGAAACTGCCAGGTCTCCATGTGTAGCCTTGAAAAAGTACAAAGAGCCAAGTGGAGGTTCATGCGCAGGGTTTTAATAGCTGCCTAGTAGCTACCTTCCCCTTGATGGGAGAGGACCAAGGTGTGTGAATGTTAGAGAGAGGAGGGTAAATAGCGGCTGAGCTTGCTCCTCCCCGCGGGGAAGGTGAAGAGGCTAAGCCCAGGCTGACCCCAGAAGGTTACCTGCATCTCTGCTGCCTCCAAGGGGCAAGGTGCCTTCTCTGGCTTTAAGGCTCAGTGTCATCAGATGATCTTTTCTTAGCACCAGAAATACATGCTGCAAGCTGGGCAGTCAGAAAGCCAGGGGCAAACCCTGTTCTATCCACCGCCACAGAGGCTGATCCAACAGCTCATACCGCCCTGCAGTTTCAGTGCCTAACGTGTAGTTAGGTTCAACGTTAACAGACTCCAGCTACTCTTCCTGAGAAGACAGTCAGGGACTCCACACCCAGAGCTTTGCTATTCTGAGCAGCTCTGGAATTGAAGGAATGTTTAGGAATCAGAATGACATTCTGATTTACTCCCCTCCCCCTCTGTAAGAGATGAGGAGTCACCGGGCCCTGAGCTCGAGGCCACACCTCCATTACCCTACCCTGAAGACACCTCTGCTTCTCTGCTTTCTCAAATTCTTGGCTCCAGACCTAGACATCACAGCACAAACCATGTACCTCACTGGGAGCACAGCTGAGTCTTAGAGCCAGGGAGATTCATCCCATCGCTGTCTCATCTTCCCTGATGATAGGCCTGATTACCCCACACCAGCTCAGTCACCACAGTGCTGCTGGACTCTGCAGGGTGGCGGACTCTTCAAGTTGTATGTGGTTGTCACACCCACACCCACACCCACACCCCCCCCACACACACACACACACGTACAATGGCCTTCTCTTCCCCAAAACAATTCCAATTACATTTCAAAGCGGCTACTCTGAGGTTTTCCCTGAAGGCCCAAGATGTGTGACTCTTGATCACACACACACTGAACCCCAAAGCTTGCTCCCTTTTAGTCTACTCGATGAACGAGTGTGGGTACAAGCGATCTTAATCCATTTTGCTTTGTTGTAATGGAAGATCTGTGACTGGGTGCGCTGGTTAAGTTTGTCAGTTTGACACAAACTAGAGTCACCTGCGAAGAGGGAAACTCAGTGGAGGGATTCTTTCCATCAGACTGGCCTGTGAGGCATTTTCTGATTGGGTGACAAGTAGGAGAGCACAGCCCACTGTGGGCGGTGCCACCCGTAGGCAGGTAGGTCTGCTCTGTGTAAGGAAAGTGGCTGGGCAAGCCAGGGGGACAAGCCAATAGGCAGTGGTCCTCTGTGATTTCTGCTTCAGTTCCTGCCTCCAGGTTCCAGCTTGGTTTGCCTCAGGGATGCACGGTCACCTGTGAGCAGAAATCAACCCTTTCCTCCCACAAGTTGCTTTTGCTTAGTGTCTTCTCACAGCCACGGAGGAGCAAACTAAGACACTGCGTGACTTGAAACAAGAAGCATCGTCTTGGCTCCCAGTTCTGGAGGTTGAAAGGCTCAAATTTGGAGGGGGGGCGGGGAGGACCTTCTTATTGCATCGTCCTAGAGTGGAAGGCAGAGGCAGGCGCTGAAGAGCGAGAGTCCAACTCGCAGCTTCAGGGCTTTCACAATCCTAAGACTGGAGCCCCAGGACCTAAACGCTTCCTGTTAAGTCCTATTTCCTACACTGTTACATTAGGGTTGAAGTTTCCAGCACTTGCTCCTGGGGGAACACATTCAAACCCTAGCACACGCCTTGGAAGCTGGAACACAGGCATCAGGAAGAGGGGCCGTGTCAACAGTGAAGGACAGGATGGACAGCTCACTGCAGAGCACCAGTCCTCAGAAAAGCTCAGCTCACGTCTCCCAGTGTTTTCTCACCGGCCAGAGGCTGACTCGCCAGCATTCTTTACCTACAAGGATCTCTCTCACCCTCCACCAGAGCTGCCCACCTTGCACCTATAATGTCCTCAGAGCTCCTGAACACTACCTCACAGGTGGGGACCTGCACACAGACCACAGTAGCTGGGCCAGGTCATTGCTTCCTCAGGATGAGTCCATGAGGTTCTCACCCCTGATATCTGGACACACAGACCAGACCTGAAGTAATATAGCCCACAGCCCAGGGCAAGACATTCACGTACCAGCAGAGCGAAGGCCACAGTGGGGCAGCCATGACACAGTGGGGCAGGCTCCTGGATTTATAGAAAGACCAGATTGCAGAAAGGACAGGCAAAGAAGAAGACAGAGAGAAGAGGGAAGATGGTCAGGCTCAGAAGGGAGAAGAGAGACAGGCTGCCAATCACTCCACACCCTCAGCCCCCTGGATCTCCCACTGTTAGTTCCAGAGAATGGTGTCTCCTGAACCCAAGAATCTTACCAGGTGATCCTGTTCCCAGTCACCTATGCCTGATGGTTTAGTGAGACAACAGGCCCAGCTATCCACTTAGCCAGTCTCTTCTCCCTCCTCCCCCAGCAGGCATGGCCCTGGTGTACCCCATACCTACTATAAGTTCGTTCAGTACTGACTTAAAGGCTCACCAAGCCTGAGGCAGAGGTAAGTTCTTAAAGTGCTTATTCTTTGTCTTCTCTCCACATGCCATGGTGAGCTCTCAGCCCAAGAACGGACAGAAATTCCTATAGATGTTTCATGATCATCTTTACTTCTTTTTAAAAATATTTATTATTTTTATTTTATATGTATGCGTGTATTGCCTGCATTTATGTAAGTGCACCTGTGTCGTGCAATGCCCATGGAGGACAGAAGAGGCTGTTGGATACCCTGGAACTGGAGTTATAGACAGTTGTTAGCTGCCATGTGGGTGCTGGGATTTGAACCCAGGTCTTCTGCAAGAACAACCAGTGTTCTTAACCGCTGAGCCATCTCTCCAGTCCCTTTAAATCGTATATATATTTACATCTAAAATGTATAATGGGTCACAGACAGTCTTGTTCCAGCTCACATGACTCTAGAAATGTTTCATCTCTAAAAATTATTAAGCAGCTGCCCACAACCAATTGTGCCAGGGTGGCAGGTGCTGAGGTGCTTTAAGCAAGTTGGAGCCGAGCCATAAGGAGTAGACGGAGTAGACATTCCAAGTCCCCTAAATGGACCTGGGAGTCACTGAGCCAGTAAAAAGGACACAGATTTAGGGCAGATGGGGTAAAGAGCTGGTAGACAAGGTTTGGGGTGGGGGGAAAGAAGATGAGAATGTTGAAATTTGGAATATCCATGGGTAGCATCATGCCCATCCTATGTGAATGACACTCAGATACCAGCATCCTCCAACTCTCCCCTCCTCACCCCCAGGTATTTGCAACAGCTCTGCACCCTTGAATCACAGACAAAGACAACCTTCAACAGCAGATATGCCCTCAGCCACCTGTCACCTGAGGAGGGTCCCTGTCTGGCTTAGGAGAACAAGCCCTACCCTAGGAGCAGAGGATGTGGGAGGCACTGGCTACTTCCTCTTTTATTACTCCATAAATAGACCCAATTTTCTTTAAAGTCGAGCACTTAATTTAGTCATTGTATTTTTTTCTATGTTAGAAAAGATCATTAACATAGTTGTTTAATTCCCTCTGTGAACTGAGACTCTATTCTGCAACAGACAATTACTCCCTCCCCTAGACCCCAGTGGTCCTTCAAGCTCTTGGGATGGATTCACAAATCTCAGTTCTCTTAACTACTTGGCTGAACACAGTATAGGATGGAGAATATAGCTAGATGCTCAGAGACCTGTTGATTACTGAGCTTGTCCCACGTGGTCAGGGCAGCCCAGGGCTCAGACCCATCCAGGAGGGGTCTATAAGAAGTCAATCTCAAAGTTCTGCTTTGAGACACAAAGACCTCTATCCCAAATCATGCGTGAGGCAGAGAAGCCTGTTCTTCACAACTACATGCTGATGTGAGGACAGTAGCTGGTGTAATCACCAAACAGGAGAGCAGAGGAGAGAAAGGAACCATGGGGCACTTGACAGATGGGGACATAGCTCAGTGACAGAGCACTTGCCTAGCGTGGGCAAGGACCTGTATTCAGGGAAAAAGGAGGAGGCTTCAGTAGCCAGACATGATGGTACCAGAGGCAGGAGAATAGCCACATGTCCAAGGCCAGCCTGGTTTGCCCATGTGGAAGTCTATCCGCCTGGTGCATCATCAAAACCACAGAACTAAAGACTTATTCTGTAAAAAAAATGTCAAGCATGTTTTTAACATGCCAGAGAAAATGCCTAGAAAGGGAAATAAATAGGAAAAAGAGTTCTGTTTCCTTTAAATAAGAACCTACTTGGGGCTGGAGAAATGACTCAGTGGTTAAGAACACTGACTATTCTTGCAGAAGACCAGGGTTTGAATCCCAGCACCCACATGGGAGCTAACAACTGTCCGTAACTCCAGTTCCAGGGAATCCGACAGCCTCTTCTGTCCTCCGTGGGCATTGCATGACACGGGTGCACTTACCTACATGCAGGCAATCCACGCATACACATAAAATTAAAATGATAAATATTTTTTAAAAAGAAGCTACTTTTAGACGACAGCAGAACTCAAAGCCTAGCATCAAGTCAAGCTGTCATGCTGGACATGGTGGTCCACACCTCTAACCCCAGCACAGAGGAAGCAGAGGAGCTTAACTTCACGGTCAATCAGGCTACATACAAGACTCTCAAGAAAGAAACACTGGAGTCCTGATCCTGCCACTCTCCGCCCCACTACACTTGGTTCTGTGGTAGAAGGGGTCAAACCCAGGACCTCCTGCATGCAAGGCAAGCACACGCCCTATGAACTGAGCTGCATCCCCATCCCAAGGCTGCATTTTGTTAGGACGAAAGAGATGGGGTTCCTGGTGCTATGTCTTCCTCACACAAGAGACCGCCTCAAGCATCTGACCACACCCTGGAAAGCTGAGGTGAAGGGACTGTAATTTCCTTGAGTATTGAGTGTGTTCCCTGCTCAAATCAAGAGCCAGCTTTGTCCCATACCATCCATTCGGGAGGCAGGGGGTAACTTCTGTGACAAGCCCAAGAGCTTCATGGCGAAGACCACAACAGAGGCAGAAGAACAGTGACACTTCCTTGGCAGGGAAGTAGAGAGCACTGGTGGGCACTCGTCAGAACTGGCCTGGCATCAACATACCATTCATTTCTCCAAATGGGAGGCTGGAGGGACAAGCTCAATGTCATGGAGGATAAATCAAAACTGATGACTGGGACTTGGCAGAGCTGCTGCTGCAACTCCCCTCCAAAATGGAAACCGCCGTCCCATTTACAGTGCATGGCCTAATGTCCTAGTGACAAGGGTGCAGAGCT